TGGGACTCTGAGGAGCACAGGGACTGGACTCCTGCTGGGACTCTGAGGAGCACAGGGACTGGACTCCTGCTGGGACTCTGAGGAGCACAGGGACTGGCCTCCTGCTGGGACTCTGAGGAGCACAGGGACTGGCCTCCTGCTGGGACTCTGAGGAGCACAGGGACTGGACTCCTGCTGGGACCCTGAGGAGCACAGGGACTGGACTCCTGCTGGGACTCTGAGGAGCACAGGGACTGGACTCCTGCTGGGACTCTGAGGAGCGCAGGGACTGGACTCCTGCTGGGACTCTGAGGAGCACAGGGACTGGACTCCTGCTGGGACTCTGAGGAGCACAGGGACTGGACTCCTGCTGGGACTCTGAGGAGCACAGGGACTGGACTCCTGCTGGGACTCTGAGGAGCACAGGGACTGGACTCCTGCTGGGACTCTGAGGAGCACAGGGACTGGCCTCCTGCTGGGACCCTGAGGAGCACAGGGACTGGACTCCTGCTGGGACCCTGAGGAGCACAGGGACTGGACTCCTGTTAGTGCCCAGAGTCAGAACTAAACATGGGGAGGCTGCTTTTCAGATTCATGCTGCTAAAATCTGGAACAGTCTTCCTGAAGATGTGAGACAGGCCTCCTCTCTGACAATATTTAAAACCAGGTTAAAAACAGTTCTGTTTAGCTGTGCTACAACTGAGGGATTTTATATTTTTATCTTTCTTTTTAATGTACTGTGATTATTTATGATTTTAATGCTTTCATATTTTGTTCAGCACTTTGAATTGCCCTGTGTATGAATTGTGCTATATAAATAAACTTGCCTTTCCTTGCCTTGACTGTGCGCATGGATCCCAAAGCTAAAAAGAGAAGAGTCGATAATAAGACTGGACTAAGAATGAAACATTTGCTTTCAGTCAATGAGGAAGGCCTGCTTCATGTTTGCGATGTAATGAGAAGTTTCTATGAGATAATTGTATCTGTGCTTAGAAACTACAAAAATGGCCGCTCGGGGTGGAGATGAACCTGTGTCACCTGGATGGGGGAGTGGTCAAAAGCGCCTCATTTGCATTTAAAGAGACAGCACCAAAACAGGTTGCTCTCAGACGCACCTCAGAACAGGTGTAGAAGAAAGGCCTGTGGAGCTACAGATAATGAGACTCAGACCCAGGCATTGCAGTTACGCTTTATATAGGCCACAAATTAATGATTTAGATATAAAAATCAATTATTTGAAAACACGATATGTCCACTTTAATGAAAATGATTATTAACAAACCTGTGTAATGTTTTTCATGTATTAATTTAAATAATTGTTTCGTAATCGTAAATCTACCATTTATTTTTCGCGTAATGTTAATACGCTAATCTTTACATACACCTCGCTCTTTTTCCTCTCGCTCTGTCCCCTCTACCTGCGAGGCGCTCTCTCCTCACCACACACACACACACACACACACACACACACACACACACACACACACAGAGCTGCACTTATGAGAGACAGATCTCACAACACGGGATATGTTGGAGTTCTTTTCTATTTTCTCTCTCCCCTTTTTCCAAATGCTTTCAATAAGTTTTGCTTCATCCATCGCGACGTCCTCAATGCTTCAATGCTGTGCTTTGCATTGATCATAGCCACAGCTCATGCACATCACACACTGCTTCTTCTATTTAAAACTATAGCGGCTGCCTGTTGCTTAAAGCCGCGGAGAGGCGAGTTGGGTCCGATAAAAGTGTTGACGCGCTAAATAAGTAGAAAACAAACGAAGAGGCTGGATCATAAGAAACGCTGCAGTCACAGACCCAAATACACACACACACACACACACCTCCCACCACACACACACGGGCGCTCTCACGCACACGCTCACGCACACATGCACGCCGACAATACATAACTCCTCCATCAGCCAAACATTCATTCATTCACACAATGCCCAAACGTGTCTCCTACAAAAACAAAGCAGGCTGATAAACGCACAGCCAGAGCTGCTGCTGCAGCGGTTTGACCACTAGTCCGTTTTACGGACGGCTGACGGACAGCAGCCAACACGCGTCAACGGAGACGCGCCTGGTGGAGTCCAGGCCTAAATGCAAAATGATGTTGGTGGATCCTCCACAGGCTTAGCGGTAGCCTGAGGAAGATGTTGTTGAGGAAGTGATTATACTGGTAGAGGTCGCAAGTGTCGTGTTGCAAAGTTCCACTGCCCACTACTGACTGGGTGCTAGAACTAAATCGACTCAGAGGCAGAGACAGAGACTCAGACAGAGGCAGAGACTCAGACAGTCAGAGAGACAGAGGCAGAGACTCAGACAGAGGCAGAGACTCAGACAGAGGCAGAGACTCAGACAGAGGCAGAGACTCAGACAGAGGCAGAGACTCAGACAGAGGCAGAGACTCAGACAGAGGCAGAGATTCAGACAGAGGCAGAGACTCAGACAGAGGCAGAGACTCAGACAGAGGCAGAGATTCAGACAGATGCAGAGACTCAGACAGAGGCAGAGATTCAGACAGATGCAGAGACTCAGACAGAGGCAGAGATTCAGACAGATGCAGAGACTCAGACAGAGGCAGAGATTCAGACAGAGGCAGAGACTCAGGCAGAGACTCAGACAGAGGCAGAGATTCAGACAGAGGCAGAGATTCAGACAGAGGCAGAGAGACAGAGGCAGAGATTCAGACAGAGGCAGAGATTCAGACAGAGGCAGAGATTCAGACAGAGGCAGAGAGACAGAGGCAGAGATTCAGACAGAGGCAGAGATTCAGACAGATGCAGAGACTCAGACAGAGGCAGAGACTCAGACAGAGGCAGAGAGACAGAGGCAGAGACTCAGACAGAGGCAGAGATTCAGACAGAGGCAGAGACTCAGACAGAGGCAGAGACTCAGACAGAGGCAGAGATTCAGACAGAGGCAGAGATTCAGACAGATGCAGAGACTCAGACAGAGGCAGAGATTCAGACAGATGCAGAGACTCAGACAGAGGCAGAGATTCAGACAGATGCAGAGACTCAGACAGAGGCAGAGATTCAGACAGAGGCAGAGACTCAGACAGAGGCAGAGACTCAGACAGAGGCAGAGATTCAGACAGAGGCAGAGATTCAGACAGATGCAGAGACTCAGACAGAGGCAGAGACTCAGACAGAGGCAGAGAGACAGAGGCAGAGATTCAGACAGAGGCAGAGATTCAGACAGATGCAGAGATTCAGACAGAGGCAGAGACTCAGACAGAGGCAGAGACTCAGACAGAGGCAGAGACTCAGACAGAGGCAGAGACTCAGACAGAGGCAGAGACTCAGACAGAGGCAGAGATTCAGACAGAGGCAGAGATTCAGACAGAGGCAGAGAGACAGAGGCAGAGATTCAGACAGAGGCAGAGATTCAGACAGATGCAGAGACTCAGACAGAGGCAGAGACTCAGACAGAGGCAGAGAGACAGAGGCAGAGATTCAGACAGAGGCAGAGATTCAGACAGATGCAGAGATTCAGACAGAGGCAGAGACTCAGACAGAGGCAGAGACTCAGACAGAGGCAGAGACTCAGACAGAGGCAGAGACTCAGACAGAGGCAGAGACTCAGACAGAGGCAGAGACTCAGACAGAGGCAGAGACGCAGAGAGTGGCAGAGATTCAGACAGAGGCAGAGATTCAGACAGATGCAGAGATTCAGACAGAGGCAGAGACTCAGACAGAGGCAGAGACTCAGACAGAGGCAGAGACTCAGACAGAGGCAGAGACTCAGACAGAGGCAGAGACTCAGACAGAGGCAGAGACGCAGAGAGTGGCAGAGATTCAGACAGAGGCAGAGACTCAGACAGAGGCAGAAAGACAGAGGCAGAGATTCAGACAGAGGCAGAGACTCAGACAGAGGCAGAGATTCAGACAGAGGCAGAGATTCAGACAGAGGCAGAGATTCAGACAGAGGCAGAGACTCAGACAGAGGCAGAGACTCAGACAGAGGCAGAGACTCAGACAGAGGCAGAGACTCAGACAGAGGCAGAGACTCAGACAGAGGCAGAGACAGAGGCAGAGATTCAGACAGAGACAGAGGCAGAGACTCAGACAGAGACAGAGGCAGAGACTCAGGCAGAAATTCAGACAGAGGCAGAGACGCAGAGAGTGGGAGACAGTGCTGACTGCTTTGTGGGAAACTTGTATGCTGGATTCGTTCACCTATAGTCCAGTCAAAGGTTGTGTCCTTAGGCAAGACACTTGAAGTGTCGCTCCTGATGTAGTTTATCACCACTGTTTAGGGAGTGAAGCATCTATGAGGGTCTGTAGAGGTCTTTTTGAAACCGATGGCTTATTATTGTTGTTATCATTATTACCTTTCTATTACAATAGAAACAATTCTTAATTTTTGAGCCCGATCATGTCATCTGGCCACTAAAATAAGCCCTTTCTTCTCTAGTATAAACTCGGATCTAAAGAGATAAATAAAACCACATTACAAACGTTTATCTACACTCACACATGTATTTTTAATGATTCCTACTTTAAGTGGCTGAGTTAGCACTCTCACTTCTCAACATAAAGTCCTGGGTTTGAATCCCAATTGGAACAGGAGCGAAGTGTGCACGTTCTCCCTGTCTCTGTGTAGGTTTCCTCCAGGTGCTCCTTTTTCCCCTACCACTAAAGACATGCACAATAGGTAAAGTCTTCCAGGATTTGCCCAGAATCAACATCTGGTCCATGTCAGTACCGTGACCACTGCTCCTGTTTCTCCTCCAACACTAACCCTAACCTCATACATGTTTCCAGTATTACTGTATATTGTTTGAATCTGGATCTGAGCATTGTTCAGACCATCCCCAATTACAGACTATTCTGCACATCGGTTTCACGTGATGAGGGAGAATCACCCAGAGAAGTTCAACAGCAGGTACGCCTGTATGTACACCTGTATGTATGCCTGTATACATCTGTATGCCTGTTCCTATGCTTGTGTGTACGTCTGTGTGTATACTTGTGTGTACACCTGTGTGTATGCCTGTATGTTCATCTGTAGTTGACCCCGTCCTCTTGGAGCTCTCGTACGTCTCTTTGGAGCTCTTGTACATTTCCTTGAAGCTCTTGTACTTCTCCCAGGAACTCTGGCATGTCTCCCTGGAGCTCACGTACTTCTCCTTGGAGCTCTCTACATCTCCACTAGTGTCAGCAGTAATTGGCCCTGATTGAGTTTGCGGGTGGGGGGGGGGGGGCTGTGACTTCCTGGATCCGTCAGCCTGATGACACGCAACCTCTAATAATCCCATTTGTTCTCATTATGTTACTGCGCTTATACACCGTTTAGCCTGGTGCACTTCAGCTGCTCTGTGCAGACTCTGACCTCTGTGTGACCTCTGACCTCTGTGTGGCCTCTGACCTCTCTGTGGCCTCTGACCTCTGAGTGAGCCTTGACCTCTAACTTATGTGTGGACTCTGACCTCTTTGTGGACTCTGACCTTTGTGTGGCCTCTGACCTCTGTGTGGCCTCTGACCTCTCTGTGGCCTCTGACCTCTAAGTGAGCCTTGACCTCTAACTTATGTGTGGACTCTGACCTTTGTGTGCACTCTGACCTTTGAGTGGGCCCTGAACTCTGACCTCTGTGTGGGCTTTGACCTCTTTGTGGGCTTTGACCTCTATGTGGGCTTTGACCTCTATGTGGGCTCTGACCTCTATGTGGGCTCTGACCTTGAGCTTTCCCTGTGAGTGCAGAGCATATGTTCAAGAGCAATGTGTTCTAGTCAATTAAAATCAATTTCTACATGTCAGCTTTGTTTACAACCATATTTCAAGGGGTCATTATTATTAGTGTTTATTGGTTGCCATAGTGATCTGTCACTGCATAAATCAGCACATAAGACTCTGCAGAGATTATGAAATGTGTTTATGGTTTGGTGCTCAGCTCCTTGCAGGGCACTATGACCGATGCAGAAGCGGAAATGAAAATAGATATTATGAGAAGAAGTCTCCGGGCCTGAGACTTCCCTTGCCACACACATTTCCTCCAGGTCATTGGGGGGGAATCCGTTCCCAGGCTGGCTGGAAGAGACACAGTCTCAACGGGTGTCCTCTAAGTGGGTCATGCCTAGAACAGCTCCCCAAGGAGGCGTTCAGGAGGTATCCCAAACAGATGCCTGAGCCACTTCATCTGGCTCCTCTCAACATGGAAGAGCAGCAGATCTACTCTTCTGTATACTTTTGTCAGCAGGAGTCATGTTCAGATTCTGAACAGAAAGTCAGATCTGTTTCTTGGTTTCTGTGGCTTTAAATCACCATTCAACAATAACATTTAAAAAGTATATTGTGTCCATTTCGTGTTTAACGTCTGACAGCTGATAAGAGACATGTTACAACATCCCATGTCACCTTTGACGAAGGCGGAAGTCTTCTGCCGTAACATGTCAGGTACTTAAGCAGTACTAGCTTCTTTACATTTTTGTCTTATCAAAAGAACCTTCTAAGCATTAATATTCAACAATGTTCTCTTCTGTGACGTCCAGAGAACAGAAGATCCGTGTCTGTTGTTTTACTCTTTTAGACCTCAGTGAATAATGATTGAGATATTTTAAGAAAATGATTCCTTCTGTTATTTGAATTCCATAAATGATTCATGCGGCAGAATGGCTTAGGGATCTCTTTATTACACACTATCCTTTCCCGTTCAATAATGCAGGACTATAGTTTTTCGAAGTGCTCAGATTTGGGGGGGATTTGTTCGAGGTGCATTGAGTCTATCGCATTCATTTGAGTTCTGCTCCAGGGTTTTCATCAAGAAGTGCTGCTGACTGTCACAGAGAGTCAGGTCTGCAAACACTTATGTGACATCTTTACTTTGTATAAAAGAGCTTTACCTCATGTATCTCATGTACTGTGATCAGGCACCAGACCGTGGTCAGAGAACAGAATGTGAGCAGGGACCAGACTGTGATAAGGGCAGCCGAGACAGTCTGATGCAAGAGTGGCTAATGGTCAGAGACTAAGAGTCTAGGTTTCGCTGCAAGCTTCTGGATTCAACCAAAATCTCCTCTTTTTATTAATATGTGCTTGGCAATAACGATTACTATTAGTGATGTGCGAGTAACAGGGCTCTCCCAGACACCTTATGATTAATCAAATACAAATTAAGTGTATTTGATTAAGTATTCAGATCTAATATGAATCCGTTATAACTTTATGTCTTAGTGAGCCTATAATGATTTACAGTTGTTTTTTTTATGTTGGGGCTTCCTGTGTTTTTGATTGACATGGAGTTTTCACTGAGGGGCTGGTGCTCTGTGTACTGGGTGCAGCTCTGACTGCCACCCCCCCGACCCAGAAATGGATTAAGGGGAAGAAAATGGATGGATGGATGGACTTTTCATGTAGTTTCATAATGAAATCCCAAGTAGGAGGGCAAGAATTAAATCAGCAGATATCTCCAAGTCTGCATAATAGATAGATGTTCAATATACGTTTCCAATGACTATATAATTACTCCTAATTGATTCCTCCATGGTCCTGACCCAAGGTCAGCATACATACTCATAATGATTCATATAAGTGAAATGCCAGTGTCTGACATATGAACATGGTAATGTTCCGGCGAATGTACAATCCCCATATGCTCCTGTGCATTCACAGTGTCCCTGCTTTGACCTAAAGATGTTGAATTTTTAATCCCAGCTAATTACCAACAGCACACGTGGAGTTAATTAGAACAAAGGGAGGTTTGTTGGTAGGAGGTGGGGTCACGGCGTCCTGCTCCATTGTGGCTTATGTTGATTACGGAGCGGAGGTGTGAGGACTTGACTCCAGGCAGAGATTCATTTAACGCCACTGCCGGACCCAGAGGTGATAATAACGTCTCGGCTTTAAAGCAGAACATATAGAAGTCTTTCTGCTGATCTCTTTGTGGCAATAATCTCTGTGATGTGACGGGATGACGGCTACACATCTTCAGAATCAAGAGTTCAGAGACTTGTTCAGATGAGGAATGTGGATGGGAGAGGTTTGGATTTATTTACAGCACAGTCAGTAGTTATTAAGAATTATGAGTAAAAATCTGTCTTTTCAATTACAAATGTTTTTTCTGATGCTGCTCTTAATGTCCATCTTTCAGATAGCCTTGAAGCCTCACCTACAGTATGCAACAATTTCCTGAACGTTTTTATAAATAAGGTTGTGGCCAATAGGGCCTTAATCGGCCCTACACCTGTTGGCTTTTCAACAATAGCTCCTTTTGTTTTGCATATTGTAAATAAATAGCCTGATTACTTATAATAAATAATAGCCTGCCAGTTTAAAACATGCTGTTGACCAGCCAATTAAAAAGTCTGGCCTTGATTCTAGATTCTAAAGATCCTTCAAACTTTCGTACAAAATCAAAACTTCCGCTTGTGTCCAAAATCTTAGAAAACATTTTCTTTGCTCAACTAAAGTCCTTTCTGGATGAAAATGAGATTCCTGAAGTGTTCCAATCTGGTTTCAAGAAACTCCAAAGTACAGAGTCAGCATTATTACGAGTTTATGATGATATACTGATGTCTATTGACTCGGCCACACTGTAGCATCGGTGCTGCTGGACCTGACGGCCGCATTCGACACAGTGGATCATGAAGCCCTCCTGTGTCGCCTTGAGCACTCAGTCGGCATTCAGGGCTATGCTCTAGAATGGTTCCGATCTTCTCTGAAAGACAGGAGTTTCTGTATGAGAGATCGTGACTTTGTTTCCTCCACAGCCTTCCTGTCGTGTGAGGTGTCGCAAGGGTCTTTACTTGGGCCACTGCTGTTTTCATTGTATCTGTTGCCATTAGGAGCTATCCTTCGGAGGTTTGGGGTGTCATTCCACCTGTACGCAGATGACAGCCACATCTATATGCCCCTTGAGCGTAACGATAACTTTTGCAGCACCCAACTTTTGGAATGTGTAACGCCCACGTTCGTGTGACCAACCAGTTTAGGGTGGACCGAAGTGCATGAGGCAAGTTATTACATTTTTTAAAGTTTTATTACAATTTTTTTTTTTTATGTTTCAAAGAGTTATCATAAAATGTCCAAAAGTGCAGGTGTGCTTATGCCAGTGAAGGGAATTTTGGGGGAGGAGATGGGGTGGATACGCAGAAACAAAGTGTCCTATCATAACTATGCAGACGACACTCAGATCTATGTCTCACTGACTGCAGGAGAACATGGACCAGTGGACTCACTCCTTCACTGTATCCAACAGATCAGTGAGTGGATGCAAAACAACTTCCTTCAGCTAAACGCAGACAAAACTGAAATGATTGTCTTTGGTCCCCAGAAACAAAGAGAGAGCGTCATCTGTCACCTACAGTCTCTCCCCCTAAAACCTTCAAACAAGGTCAGAAATCTAGGGGTAATACTGGACTCAGACTTAAATTTTAATAGCCACATCAAATCAGTAACATCAGCAGCTTTTTACCATCTAAAAAACATTGCCAGGATCAAAAACATAGTGTCTAAAGCAGACTTGGAGATTCTTATCCATGCATTTGTCTCCAGTAGGTTAGACTACTGCAATGGCCTGCTCACAGGTCTGTCCAAACAGGCTGTAAAACAGCTGCAGTACATTCAAAATGCAGCAGCTCGAGTCCTGACTAGAACCAGGAAGTACGACCACATTAGTCCTGACTAGAACCAGGAAGTACGACCACATTAGTCCTGACTAGAACCAGGAAGTACGACCACATTAGTCCTGACTAGAACCAGGAAGTACGACCACATTAGTCCTGACTAGAACCAGGAAGTACGACCACATTAGTCCTGACTAGAACCAGGAAGTACGACCACATTAGTCCTGACTAGAACCAGGAAGTACGACCACATTAGTCCTGACTAGAACCAGGAAGTACGACCACATTAGTCCTGACTAGAACCAGGAAGTACGACCACATTAGTCCTGACTAGAACCAGGAAGTACGACCACATTAGTCCTGAAAAGAACCAGGAAGTACGACCACATTAGTCCTGACTAGAACCAGGAAGTACGACCACATTAGTCCTGACTAGAACCAGGAAGTACGACCACATTAGTCCTGACTAGAACCAGGAAGTACGACCACATTAGTCCTGACTAGAACCAGGAAGTACGACCACATTAGTCCTGACTAGAACCAGGAAGTACGACCACATTAGTCCTGACTAGAACCAGGAAGTACGACCACATTAGTCCTGACTAGAACCAGGAAGTACGACCACATTAGTCCTGACTAGAACCAGGAAGTACGACCACATTAGTCCTGACTAGAACCAGGAAGTACGACCATATTAGTCCAGTTCTCAGGTCTCTGCACTGGCTTCCTGTGGCTCAGAGAATAGACTTTAAAACAGCTCTGCTTGTTACAAGTCTCTCCATGGCCTCGCACCAAAATATATTAGTGACAACCAGCCCGGACTCTGAGGAGCACAGGGACTGGACTCCTGCTGGGACTCTGAGGAGCACAGGGACTGGACTCCTGCTGGGACTCTGAGGAGCACAGGGACTGGACTCCTGCTGGGACTCTGAGGAGCACAGGGACTGGACTCCTGCTGGGACTCTGAGGAGCACAGGGACTGGACTCCTGCTGGGACTCTGAGGAGCACAGGGACTGGACTCCTGCTGGGACTCTGAGGAGCACAGGGACTGGCCTCCTAATGGGACTCTGAGGAGCACAGGGACTGGACTCCTGCTGGGACTCTGAGGAGCACAGGGACTGGACTCCTGCTGGGACTCTGAGGAGCACAGGGACTGGCCTCCTGCTCGGACTCTGAGGAGCACAGGGACTGGACTCCTGCTGGGACTCTGAGGAGCACAGGGACTGGACTCCTGCTGGGACTCTGAGGAGCACAGGGACTGGACTCCTGCTGGGACTCTGAGGAGCACAGGGACTGGCCTCCTGCTGGGACTCTGAGGAGCACAGGGACTGGACTCCTGCTGGGACTCTGAGGAGCACAGGGACTGGACTCCTGCTGGGACTCTGAGGAGCACAGGGACTGGACTCCTGCTGGGACTCTGAGGAGCACAGGGACTGGACTCCTGCTGGGACTCTGAGGAGCACAGGGACTGGACTCCTGCTGGGACTCTGAGGAGCACAGGGACTGGACTCCTGCTGGGACTCTGAGGAGCACAGGGACTGGACTCCTGCTGGGACTCTGAGGAGCACAGGGACTGGACTCCTGCTGGGACTCTGAGGAGCACAGGGACTGGACTCCTGCTGGGACTCTGAGGAGCACAGGGACTGGACTCCTGCTGGGACTCTGAGGAGCACAGGGACTGGACTCCTGCTGGGACTCTGAGGAGCACAGGGACTGGACTCCTGCTGGGACTCTGAGGAGCACAGGGACTGGACTCCTGCTGGGACTCTGAGGAGCACAGGGACTGGACTCCTGCTGGGACTCTGAGGAGCACAGGGACTGGACTCCTGCTGGGACTCTGAGGAGCACAGGGACTGGCCTCCTGCTGGGACTCTGAGGAGCACAGGGACTGGCCTCCTGCTGGGACTCTGAGGAGCACAGGGACTGGCCTCCTGCTGGGACTCTGAGGAGCACAGGGACTGGCCTCCTGCTGGGACTCTGAGGAGCACAGGGACTGGACTCCTGCTGGGACTCTGAGGAGCACAGGGACTGGACTCCTGCTGGGACTCTGAGGAGCACAGGGACTGGCCTCCTGCTGGGACTCTGAGGAGCACAGGGACTGGACTCCTGTTAGTGCCCAGAGTCAGAACTAAACATGGGGAGGCTGCTTTTCAGATTCATGCTGCTAAAATCTGGAACAGTCTTCCTGAAGATGTGAGACAGGCCTCCTCTCTGACAAAGTTTAAAACCAGGTTAAAAACAGTTCTGTTTAGCTGTGCTACAACTGAGGGATTTTATATTTCTATCTTTCTTTTTAATGCTCTGTGATTATTTATGATTTTAATGCTTTCTTATTTTGTTCAGCACTTTGAGTTGCCTTGTGTATGAATTGTGCTATATAAATAAACTTGCCTTGCCTTGGATCTGACCATCCGGTTAGCCAAGCTAAACAGCGGAATATGTGCTGTGCAGTAGGCTGTAATCTGGTGGTCTGGGTATATCCACTCTCCTCGCTGGGCCACGCCAGTAGCTCCACTCCGGCACACCGGGACAAGGGAGTGACAAGACACAGAGAGCACATTAATAAATAAAACTGAAACAAAGTGACAAACAAGAGCTAAATGTGACAGTGCAGTGTGGTGGACATTACCTGGACAAGGGAGTGACAAGAGACAGAGTGGTGTGCTTCTGCTGCTCAAAACAGAGTGTGTGTATTGAGCTGATTACCTCCAACTTGCTAAAATAAAGTCGTCCCTTTCAAGGCAAAATGTTGACATTTTGATTCACGCTTTTGTTACGACTCGGCTGAACTATTGTAACGCCTTGTACACAGGTATCAGCCAGTCCTCGCTTGCTTGTCGTCTGCTGATACAGAACAGGTCCTGTCATCCCTTCATTGGCTTCCTGTTCGCTACCGGATTGATTTTAAAGTCCTTTTATTTGTCTATAAATGCCTGAATGGCCTTGCTCCGCGATATCTGTCTGACCTACTGACATAATACGCTCCATCACGTTCTCTCTGGTCGGTAGATCAGGCTCTGCTCTGGGTTCCTTCGACTAAACGGAACCTCAGAGGAGATCGAGCTTTTTCGGTTGTTGGTCCTAAGTTATGGAATGAGCTGCCCCTGTGTCTGTCTGAGTCACTTCCTGTTTTTAAGTCTCTTCTTAAAACTCACTTCATCTCATTGGCATTA